CTCAGCATCAATCTAAGCTGTTACATGTTCCGAATGTTAACCACTCACATATTTCTCTGACTACTTCACATAAATAATTCACCAAATAGATAACCCACAACTGTGTCTAACTGCTACTGAACACAAACTGACACAGCAGCGTAATAAACATTTTCTATCTAGAAAGATGAGATTTGTTTTTCAAAAACAGGCAGGGCTCCTCGCTTGCCAGTACAGTTTATCCAGTTCAGCCTGGATTCGTTTGGGATACTGCAGGCCTTGGCAGCCATTTCAAGGGATCACTGAACACCTGTGAGCTACTGAATGTGTCTGCTGCTCCTCAGCTGTGGTAGCAGAAGCACTAGGTCCTCTGTGTTTCCGCGTCGGCCTGCTTCTTTCAGTCCATAGGTGTTTTTGTGCTCTTAAGAAAGGGTCAGTAGTCTCTTCTAACTACTACAATATGGCTAGCCCACCACTAAGTAAGTGTCTGTGTTCCAGAGAGGGGCTTCTGTCAGGCATCTGCACCGTGTTTGTTCTTGAAAATCCTTTTTGCTAACAGTGTGTACTTTTATTTTCTAATACTTAAACAACATCCCTTAGTTATTTCTGGAAGGATGGAGATTTCCAGTTGTCACAAAGATGGTTGAGATAAGAGGATTTTAATAGATCCTGACTGTGGACCTCCACCCATGCAAAATCGGGTTAAAAAAAAGTCCCCACTCATGGCCCCTTGGGTCTTTTTTTTTTTTTTTTTTTTTTTAAAGATTTATTTTTGGACTTTTTGTGCCTTTTATGGAGAGATGGGACAGTGGATAGAGTCAGAAATCAGGGAGAGAGAAATTGGGTAATGATGTGGGAAAGAAGCCACAGGTGGGATTTGAACCTGGGCCGCCTGCTTGGAGGACTACAGCCTCCATACATGGGGTGCACGCACTAACAACTGCTAACAACTTTTTTCAAACCCAATTATTGTATACCAATCAGATCAGTATGATGTTATTTGTAACCATTGATATTCACCAAAAAAGTCAATAAAGCTTTAAAAAGCTGTTTGGAATAATTTCATATTACATCATGCATAAAAGAGGTCTGCCCTAAGCAAATGTAAGTTTTAAACTTACGAAAAGTGCAAAAACTGCAGATTTCCCATATTGTTTCTCTTTCATCAGACTTAAGTATATGTATTTGATGTCCTTTAGACAACAACTTAAATACCTCAATTTATATTTGTCATTTTTTCATTTGGATCATCTTCACTTTGTAAAACATCAGGTTTGTCATTTGACCCCAGTATATGTCTCACAATAACAGGTGTAAAGCCTCATAAAATATTGTCTTGTGCATTGCATGCTTTCAGCTCTGGTTCTGTTTTCGATTGGGTTCAAAGTTTCATTACATCAGCAAAGTGAACAAGACATGACTTTAAAACAGGACAAATACAACACCAGCTGTCTCTGAATTAGAATTCCTACTGGAATCAAAAAATCTTAGACCTGTGGTCCTTTTTTCCCCCTTGAGCATCAACATTTAAGCCATTTAGGCCAAATACAGACACCATTACTCTCTTCTATCCAATTAATTATTTTTTAATCAATTTTAAAACGTAACTGTAATTAAACAGCTAAAGTATTCTCTCAATCTTTGATAATGACATACAAAGTCTTTAGAGCTCAGTAGGCTCTGCTCTATTTGGTTGTTACACACAAAGACCAGAAACTGTTGGAAGTAAATAGAAGACCCTGACCTGACATGGCCAGACTAGAGTGGTATAGAGCTGGGTTTCTCAAAACAAAGAGGACCCTGTAAAAACTCTTTGACTTTGAAAACATAACCAAACAAAGTTAACAGTCCGTTTACTCGGCATGAAAGGACAACTTTGAACCATAATAAATTCTCCAACTTTAAATGACTTTCTTGTGGTATTAGTTCCCCTTATAACATCAAAATGATCTACACGTCAACCTACAATATCCATCAACTTGTCAGGGCCACAAAATGTAGTTGATGAACACAATTATATGTTTGGATATTTGTAAAACCTCTTACAAACTGAGTGAAAACAAATAAGAAATGGAACAAAAGAGAGGCTGTAATGCTGCACTTTTGTCTGCAGCATTGAATTCCTCTGAGTGTTTGGGGAAAATTTTTGGAAAAAACTTCTGGATTGCGTGAACACAACAGACATGGCCATAGCTGCGATTGTCGACGATCACAATGTGTTTGCTTTGTGCTTAACAGTCCTCATTGATCTTTATAGAAGATCATGTTGGCTTAAAAATCCACCCATGGCCTGAAAACACAAAGACTTGTAAAAGAGAGCAGCTTTGCCTTCAATAAGCGATCAGATTTACAGGAATATTTTACACGTCCGTAATTCTTGTAAAGACTTGAAGCCTGCCTCGTCTCTATGAATCACATCCATTGCGCCGTTTCTGCTGCCCAGAATGATAAAACTACATTGTTGCTAAGACAATAAAGTTTCCACATTTTCCCTATGCTTGTGGCGCTGCCAAGCTCTGTTTTACCTGCTCTCCCGCTCTTTATCTTTAGCCTGCAGCAGAACTCTGAGCCTGGCTGCCTTTGTTGCATGTATGATGTTAATTAACTCGCACCACATGGATGGAGCGTGTTGCTTTAATTGGACAAGGCCTTGGCATACCGCTCTGTGGACAGGCAGGCCAGGAATAATTTTTTCAAAATGTACAATTCTATTATTACCACAAAGAGCCAACCAGTGAGTTCAAAGATGGATGTGAATATGCAGGAGCCAGAGTGAGGCTTTGATCACATTCTGACAGGAGGAAAAAAAGAGTTGTGAAATGTCGTGTCAGCCTCCTCAGTGTCATTTCAGGTGTTGGTGCATGTGTTAGGGTTACCTATGACCAAAGTGATGTTAAAGACAAACTGAGTGAGTTATTGCAACCTATTTAACTAGACTGGTTGATAGCGCTGAGTCACGGATGTCTGACTGTTAGAGGAAGTGTTACGATCACTGGTGAGTCAGGTATACGCTGAATGTGGTGACAGATGCCACCTCACATGGACGGCTCTATCCGGGGTTTAGCTAAGCAGATAAAATAAGCATCTGACCTTGATTGAGAAAGAGGTTACTGGCACAAGATGCTGCTGTAACGTGATGCCAAGTCATAAATGAATCATCAAGGGACTCTTTGACGTGATCTTGTTGATTTGCAGTGGCGCCATTTGATGTCGGCCAACATTTCTGCCACTTTATGTACGCCACTTCTGGCTGATGCACAGCACACATTAACCAAAGATGAGTCATTGACCCAATCATGCATTAAATGTATGCATCCTTGAGGATCGCATAGAGGCTTCAGCCTGTCCCAGCTGACACAGAGCAGGTCATATTTTTAAATCAGACAGAGCGCATGAGCAAAGCAGTAGCTTGTGTTTTTCTAATCTTGATTTCACAGCTGTTTTTGCACTGTACGTCCTGATTAGCCCACACTTACAACAAATTCATAGAAAAGCCGGACAGCAACAGATCAGATATTTCTTATTTTCCATGAGTATGAGAGTGTCAGGTTCAAGATAGTCCTTATGACCATGAGAGGACCACCTATCAGGGATTTAATGCTGCTGAAGACAAAGTGAGAGAACAAGATTTTCCAGGAACAGCAGAGTTTACCGTAGTCTAACAGCAGCATGTGAGTCCATTTTTTGGGTCGTGAAGGTAAAATGTTTGTCCATCTATACAGCTTTTCTTAGCATAAAGACTGGAAACGGGTCAAAAACTGGAAGACCTTGCTCTATAGTAAACTATAATCTGCCAACCAGAATAGCAAAGCTCACAAACATTTTTTTAACCTTTTATTCATAAAACCTTGAAGTGTCTTGCAAACTACTTGTAATTATCTCTCAAAAATGTTGTGGTGTTCAAGTTATCTAAGCTGTCTCGGCATGGTTAAGTTGTGCCCTAAGCAGTTGCCCCGTCACCGCATTCTATTAAAAAATCTGCTTAAAAGATGGACCCCTCCCTCCCTCATCTCAGCACTACAGCATTTGCCCTTTTAGAACTGGCAGCGGAACAGTAATTTGTCATCATATATTTTTCCGTTTTCTTTTTTCTCCGCAAAGCAAATATGTAGTTCATGGAGTCCTCCAAATCATTTGACTAATTTTCAAATCAGCAGAGCTACTCCTCAGTTGCTAAACTGCAGAAGAACAAATACCCCTGATTAGAAGTCAATGTTTAAGAGATTTACTGTCTTTATTTTCGAACGTTATGCCTGATTTTTGAACATTAATCAAACCATCAGCACTGGCTAGAGGGATTAGGTGTACTCTGTGCCCATGCCATGTGCTATTAAAGGAAAAGACCAGCCTTGCAACTGACTGCGTTGTTGATGGCATGAAGTGCCACTTTACCAACAACAGAAAAGACAATGACTTACAAAATGAATGATTTGTCCACTCAAGAGTACCAACAACAAATGCATTGTTGTTGTTGTGACACTGTGGCAGTTAGGTTAGATTAAGGCAAAAAACTACTTCTTGAGAAAGAGTTTTTCAAAATTGTGCAACTGCATCCAAGTTTGGGTCTGAACCATCAATCTAACCCAACCTCCTACAATAATTACAAATAAACCTATATTGGTATCACAATAAGCTGCTTGATAGATGACCAATATGGCTGTATTTTGTTGGACGTTCTGTCATTACTCTGAAACTCAACTGCTCATAAAGAAACCATGCATTCTTCTCCCATGCATATTTAACTTAAACCATCTTATTTGGCTGAGCAAACCTGCTCTTTTCCCCGCACCTGGGTAACATGTCAGTTGGTGAAGAATGGCACCAGTTAAGTTCCTTTTATTGGTTCAAACTGCACTGAATATATGAATGTGAGAGTTGAATAAAGGTTATCCACTGAGAGAAAGTAATAACGGTTTCCTTTGACGCCCACACTGAAGCCCCAGCAGATCTGCAGCAGTGTAAGCCTGCTAACATTGCAGTATGGTAAACAGTATTCCCACACGCTGAACGTCAAGCTGTACTTTCTCTAAAGAAACATCTCTGTGCATGTGGAGGAATGTTTTTTTACTTTGACGCCAGGATTGCTCTGCTGCGTTGGTAACCATTCGTGCTGGATTCCTGAGTGGCTGTGTGACTGGGTTGTTTTTAGATGCTGCTTCGTCAGTTGTGGGACTTGACCCCATCTTTGTTTGTTTACATTTGGCCAACAGATGTTCAACTAAATGGACCCAGTTTCCTGAGCCAGTTACCCTGCGTCCTCTCTGGGGATAAAGATCTGTACCCCCGCAAATAAACCACGGGCCATCCAATGACGCACTGTGTGGGCAACCTCATCTGTGCTATATGTACCGTTTCCTCCATCGAGGTTATTTAACACATTAAACAAAAAGTGTTATCTGTGTTGTGAGAAATGCTTCTCAGTGTGAAACTGCAAATAAGCTCCAAACTTGCCCCAGAAACTGTATTTAGCTCCCAGCATCTGTCACTATGTTTTAAAACAAAGTGAGTGATTACCAAAGACTATTCTTAGCGTTATGTTAATTTTGTCCTGTTTATTAGCTTGTACTTTTTATAGAAAGAGGTCTTGCACAAGATAATCCTACACCGACATTCATCCTGAAGCAGTTTCCATCATCAACATGAATAACCAGGTACTTAGCACTCTTTCTCGGTTCAATTTGTCTCGAAGCATTTGCAGCTTTTTATAGCTATCTTAAAGCTTAAAGCTGGAGAGCTGCTGCTACAGGTCAACCTCCCATGTCTAGGATTGATGAGTCCTTTCATTCTGAGCTGACTTCATGTCTAATGAGAAGGCTCCATGGATGTGTCCGGTGTTAGTTAACCTTGTTTCGAGCAGCAGAGCAGCCTCAGGATCCCTCTGCAGCATCCCCGCTTCTCGCATCTACAGCTCGCACAGTCCACACAGCTCCTGCAAGCCATTTGTCAAACCTCTGCCTACATTAAATTATCATGACCCGAGAGAGATATCTAGCTCTATGAAGAGACTCTGAGCCCCAGTCAGACGGATAGGGCGCACCGTGTCTGAGATGGAGAACTGAATGAAAAATTGACCGTGCAGAATCTAGGTTCGTTCACACTCCGCTCTGTGAGTCTGTTGCTGTATTGTAAAAGTATGAACAAAGTCTGCCAAAAGAAGGAAAGCCCTGCGGATGCTTAGTGTTAAAGTTCACTCATGGCATCGTAAATCATCCTGTATGTTTTAACAACAGTCACACGCAGCCCAGTACACCCTGAGACTCCTGTGACTGCTCTCAAAGGCCGTAAAAAGATAAACAGAAAGGACAGCAGATGGTGTTTTGCCACAGAAACTCCATGAGAGGTTTCTTTTGTGACTCATTCGAATCATTCAGGTTAAATATGAGTTAGGGGCCCCTGGCGGCCAGTGAAGCTTTTCACATTATTCTGTTCTTTTCTATTCATTAATAATGATAACCTCCCAAATGAGCTGGTCTGTCTTAAAAACCAAGAAAATTTCTCTTTTAAAAAGACTTAGATGGTGAGACTGAGTGTAGCTATTTTGAGATGAAAGACCAATACAGATCAGATGCTTTAAAGAAATCCATTAGAGGGCGAGAGGGCAGAATTTTTTTAAATGATCAAGTCTGTATTCCTAAATCAGAGGCGAAGCATGTATTGAAGTGAGTGTGCTCTTTAAAGTAAAAACGGCAGCATGGTTTTCAGGAGGCTGTAATCTTGTGTATGTGTTGTGCACACTGCAATCTTAATAAGGATTCCAAGTTACAAGGAGACCGATGTTTGAGCTTCCCTCATGATATTTTGGGAATAATATGCTAGAAATGCTCTAATGTTTGTGCTGTGATTCACACTGTATCCCTGACATGTTGCTCTCTGCCTGACAAAACCAAGAGCACAAAGCAAAAAACAAGACTCAGAGAGAAACTGTTGAGGAAAAAAAGAACTAAAAGCAAATATCTAAAGGTACCAAATGAATTACTTTAAGCATCAGTTACACTCATCGCTTTTTGCTAATAAAAACGAGAGTCTCTTCTGTACTAATGCTCATCAGATCAGAACAAATCATGTTTTGAAACAGTCAGCACAGGGTTAGGAAACACATCCTACAGTATGGCTGTCAATCTAAGAGCTGCAATGATGAGACACTTAGTAAGCTGGCTAAGAAAATGACATATTTTAATAATCGTGTGAGTCATTTTCAAATGCAAATGTCAACAATCTTCAAAAACATTTTCTGGTCCCAGTTTCCAGATTAGAATGTTTAGCTTTATTTTGTAGTCTGTAAAATAATGATAAGTCTTTGGCCCTTGACAGAATAAGCAATTTGAAAACAGCATAATCACAATGTATTATGAGACTAGACAATTGACTGGATAATCTTGAAAATAATCAAAAGATTAATTAACTATAGCAGTGCACAAGTCACAAATCCCGGATTGGATTTCTTTTTCTTTTTTTTTGGATAAGCCACAAAAAAAAGAAAGAAAAATATTTATTATATCACTTTTCTACTCCTCAGCTAGCTATTACTCAAAAGGGAATTTTAATAGCATTACAAATCAAAATCATCATCTTAATTATGTATAGCATCCTCAATCTTCTTCTATATACTCATTGCAGTATTTCCAACAATAAAAATACAAACAGGTAGACCTGAACTCTCTTTTGATTTAGACATAGCTTCTTATTGTCTAAGTACAGCTGACTGTTATATCAAAAAGCATTTCATTAACACTGCTTGCTACCCCCCAACGAAGTTAATCAAAACAAAAAAAATAGTTCTGTAAATAAAAAATCTGCTGTTATCCACTAAAACATGTCAGACCAAACAAACTATATCTTCAGTTTAAGGACCCAACAAAGCCCTCTGTAATGTATTTTTTGGATTAAGTCTACTGGAGGCTGTGATGTTGCTCTTGTTAAGTTTCTGTTGTTGTCTCACCAACCACTATCTAATAACTAATGATTAATGTAAACATCTTGAGATGAAACCGAGAAAAGGTAGAAGGAGCTTCTGAAAAAAGTAACCATGCACAATGAAATCAAAACACTTTATGATCCGTTTGCTGTGTGAAAGTCTGCCAAAAAACGTTGGTAAAAATACATTCTAAAACAAGAAATTGTCATCCTAGATGCATCACTTAAACGCTGCTTCCTTTACTGAGACTCTGCACGGGAGGTTTAGCAGCAGTTCATTCATTTTACATAATGATGATGTATTTTTTCATCGATCCGCAGATCAGATCCGGTACGAACCATGGGGGATGATCTGAACAAATCATGGATAACCTGTGATCCTCTATACACCAATAATAAGAAAGGTAAATAGTTGTATTTACTGCCCTAGTCCATTTGTATGACCTCAGTGTTTTAAACATTTTTATTGTCTGTGACCAGAAACTGATCACCATTGATATTGGCTTGGTAAGTATAGAAGTTTTGTCTGAAACCAAAATAAACCTGCTAAGTTTGAAAGTGGATTACATTCTTGCAGTGGAGGTCTGACAGCAGCTCTGACCTGAACATTGGCTTCTTTGCCTAATTAAGTCCATCAAACAATAGTAGTGCATAATGAAGCCCACACTATAGCTGCGTGTGCTGTTAAAACATTGTCACGGTTAACTGATTTTACCATTTCCAGGCTACGCTCTGATGGCCCTTAAGTAATGAAAGATTTAAAAGAAAATTAATTCAACTTTTATTGCCAGAGGGGAATTTGTCTTTTACCAAGAGCAAAACAACATGAACTTCAAAGACAGCAACAAGCACACAGGACATCACGCAATAAACGGGAGACTAATATCATTCAAAAATACATAATTATAGCATCACGTTTTTCCATGTAAGAGATGTCGAGTAGCAAGTTCAATAAAGTGCAGACTAGTGCCAACTTCTGAGTTCATACTGTATAGTCAGAGCCTGTTGAGCAGCTGAATGCTCTGTTGTACAAAGGAAGTGATACCTCTTTGTTTTCATCCAGGGCTTTCTGTACCAGCGCCCCCCAAGTGAAGAGTACATACTCAGACCAAAGGGGATGCTGTGGGTCTGCTGTAAACTTAATTCAGTGTGTAACGGTCTGTTAGGAAAGAAATACTGCACATTGGTTTTCCTGTTATTCTCCTACCTCGTGTAACAACCCTGTCTAGTTTGTTCTTACTATGCACGGACTATGCCCCCCCCCCCACTCCCAACACTGACTATAAAAGGTCAGTACACTTTCAATGAAGCGTTTGAAAAAAAAATGTCAGCATGGTGCTGTCAACATTTAAACATCTGAGTTTCCTTAAAAAAAATAAAGAGACGCTGCTGAGCCTTTGCAAATCTTGCATTAGTGTTAGTGTTCCACGTCAATTTGTCGTCAATAACTGTGCCCAGATACTTACTTATATCAGTTGTAAATTTCAATGATTTGTTGTTCATAATAATAAGGGAGAGAGGAGAAGCTCTTCTAAAATCAATTATCATTTCTTTCATTTCCTTTGGGTTTCAAATGAATGAATTCTCTTTTCACCAGCTGTGAAAGTGGTCCGTCTCAGCTCTGTAATTGGTCTCATCGTCTTTTAAGAGACCTATCAAGGCAAGAGGCAAACCTTCAACGCTTCACTTAATAGTTTTGCTTTTATTCTAAAGCTTTATTACAAATATCATTAAAGATTAATTCCATATAATACCTAATGCATTTAATTGATGTATTTTTGACTTTTAGTTATACCCCAGTTTGATATTCATACTTAAATCCCTTTGAGACTAATCTGTAGTTTGGGAGTTTCTTGATGACAACAGCCCAACTGTCCTCTCCAGCTACCTGTCTGTCTTGTATAAATTCTTTGCACATTGCCAGCTGTCCCATGTAGACACCAGCTGTGGTTACCCAGGACATTTGTGACTCAGAATCTTTGGTTCCTTATTTGCTCATTCTTGCAGCGACATGTGCCAAACTGCAGATTGGCAGTAATCATGTTACCAACAGTGACTCACCATGCTGTGGACGTGTTGTAGGGCAGGAGCGTGGGGCTGTGGCTCTCCCCTCTTAGGCTGTGTCTGGGCTGGTAGTGGCTGGGGACCATGGGCTGGGCTTGAGCCTGGGCCTCGCTCTCCTCCGGCATGGACCTGTGCCACTGACTCCTGGCCTTCTTCAGCCAGCGTCCCCCAAGACCCCATTTCTCCAGGTAGACCCGGCACAGCTCGTAATTTATGGCTGAGTAGTAGAGGAAGTCAAGCGCCAGCAGCACCATGACAAAGAAGCCGTAGATCCACACGCCGACCAGGGCTGTATAATTACTGTGAGACGGAGACAGACTGAGAGTATTAGCACAATGTAATCAACGTGGCTGCCATCCAGATACACTTAAACTTGGATCTTAATTCCCAGAAGCCACAATAAAGCTGCCAATGTTTGCTGCTCATGTGGCAAAACATAAACATTCCTCAAATTGACCGTTGAAATACTAGTTAAAGAGTTACAAACACATATTGCTTCTTAAATTGGGCCGAGTATTTAATTAAAACATTTAACCCTTTTCATCCGTCTCTTAATGGCTTATAAAAAGAATCGTTCCATTTTCACCTCTACTAATGTCCTTGTGTTTTTCATGATCCAGCTGAATATATGTTGGGAACACTTTCTTTTAGTCCATCGTCATCTATTAAAGTACAGCAAATGAACTGCATTTGTCACAACAGTGATGCTAAATATCCTCAGTTCTTTGTTTCTAGGGAGCTGAGGACATTAAGTCTGGGACTCCCAGGCAAAGTGAAAGGGAGTCTATCATATTCAATTCCTCTTGACATAACCAAAGATTTATTATGCTTTCAGTTATGAAAGAATTTAACTTCAGAATAGAGAATTATTTAGTTGGACATTCCTCGTTTATGGATATTTTATGGTTTCTTTCTTTTGACTGCATTGATTGAAGCTCTTCAAACATTTTTATGTCCAAATGCTTCTAATTGAGTCAGTCAGTCAAGGAGGGAATCCGCTTCTGTCTGAAATTGATGTGGCCTTCGGGATATTTATCTGAATAAATGACATCAAATTGAACATGTGAGCTGCTCAAATGAGCACTTAGGCAGGTTAGAACTACCCCTGCACTCACATCTAAATGTATTCTAAACTTCATTTACCTCTTCTCACTTGTGCATCTGAGACATTTAACTATAATTTAGTTTGAATGTCTGGGACTTGGGTTGGGAACCGGAGGGTCACTGGTTCAAGTCCCGGTGCGACCAAGTATGGCAGTTGGTCTGGTAGTTGGAGAGGTACCAGATCACCTCTGAGCACTGCCGAGGTGCCCTTGAGCATGGCACCAAACCCCACCACCTGCTCAGGAGGCCCACTGTGGGCCGCTCCGTCACTCTGACATCTCTCTCTTAGTGCATGTCCATAGGATTCTGTTTGTGTGCATGTGTGTATATACTTCAGCCTATGTGTGTGTTGCATGACTACAGAGTGTAAAAACTGAAATTTCCCCTTGCATAATGATCAATAAAGTAAATCTCTTATCTTAATCTTACTGAGGTCATTTGTGAAGGTATCAGGCTTTCTAACGTAGCATTATGTGAACCTTAGAGTAGGTAAACAGCATTATGTGCTCAGTTCTTAGATAGATCGTTCATGACCACACAGCTGAAACTAATGTTATCCAACACTGCTTAACACCATCTCCTAAAGGAAGAGAAGTAGATGCAATTGATTATCTGTCAAAGGTCAGCAGCTTTTCTTGTTGCTTTACACATTTTTCTCGGAGGTGACTCTTCTTTGGATCTATTTGGATTCTGCAGCATATAAACCACTCTGTAAAATTTAAACGGCTAGGGGGAAACCCTCAGAGGACTAACACCTTTATTTATTTATTTTACCTTGAACTGCAGTCAATTTCAAGCTATACAGTAATATCATTTCAACAGTGCAGTGTGAGCAGAGAGCAGAATTATGACCAGTTTAACTTGCTTGTGGTGGTAAATATCATTCCCTCAGTCCTAACGCCCTGTGAGCCAGGATGAAAGACTGGCCTGACAGGCCATCTGACACTAAAATGAAATATCACGACCTGCTGCAGGGCAGTGTGGCCGGTCTGAGACAGAGGCATGCTGGGAGGGCATTAGTACAGAGAGCTGTGCTTTGGACACCTAAATCTCCCACTGAGAGCTCACACAGAACAAGAGGCTCATTTTTCTGCATCCATCACTCAGCTTAAATCTGCTTATACTGCAACGAATAAGTGTGTCCTCTGTTGTGTGTGTCCTCTGTGAACAGCTACCATGATATCATAGCCGCTTTTTTTTGTTATCATCTTTATTCAGGAGTGTGGTATCTCAGTTTGAGTGTATTACATATTCAAGTTGTTCCAACATTCATATATACCAGCAGTTGTATCAGCCTCGGAAACTTCTGAAATGTTGATGGGTATGAAAGAGTATTCCGGTCAGTGCACCAACTATACAAAAGAGTATAATAACTCGTAAAACATTTTACAGCATTGTTCAGAAAATTTCATTAAAGACAGAAAATATTCAGGTAATGTGACCTGCAAGCGGGTTATTTTGACAAAAGCAGAGCTTAGCAAAGTGCAAGCAGGTCTGAGTATGAGGGCAGGGTTTTAGGGAGAGCGTTTCTAAATCTCTACATAAAACCAATATGTCATTCCTTTTAAACTGAAAGACCATACTCGTAAATTAAAAATTAAAATAATCATAGCATTTGTAAACTATTTATAACACTAAAAGTACTTGCATGGACAACTGTACTATGATAGTGTAACATAGTGATACTTGAGATAACAGCTAGCACTTAACACCTGCCTTTGTGAGCTCATGTAGCGGCGCCTCTCTCTTATAACAACAACAACTGCTTTCAGCATCTGCTCCATCTCTGAGCTGCTTTTGAATGCCTCTGTAGGTGTAGATCAATGTCAGCAAACCCTCTGAGCAAGAGGCAAGCGGTGTCAACGAGAGCGACGCCGTCAAGGGAGCGAAACATTTGTGAGCAGGCAGGCTGAAGCAGCTGTTTTTATCTCATCTGAGGGAACGCCACGCAACTGAATCTGTTTGTTTCCCCATAGCGCTCCACATAAAACTCTCTACCCAAGGAGGTTATGTGTTAGTCCTTGTTTGTGGTTTTTTTAGGATACCTTTAAAATCTAGAAAACAGATTTCATTTTAGATGTACAGTTTCTTCCTGGCCTATAGAAGAACTTTTAGGCTTCTTATAGTGTGTTAATGAAGCACTAGTGTTCAGTAACAAGTGTTAGGTTCCACAGTCTCTTAGTAAGCATGACTTCCTCTTTTGAGTTTGGCTGAACCATTGTGAATCACCTTATGTGACACGACACAGAAGCAAACGTGTAGACGGACCTTCACCACCTCTCGTTTTTGTTCCTTTAGGTTAGGCCAACCTGTAACAACTACAAGACTTGAGAAAGAGACTGTGCTTGGGCTGGCTGCATGTGTGAGAGCTGATAGTCTGAGCTCGCCGCTGACTGCTGATCGGAGGTAAGCCCACACCCTAACACCGCCAGCCAGCCTTTGTTTTGTATGCATTTTTGTGTTAGAGAACGAGCATCAACTAGACGGCATTCATTCTCGAAACACAAGCCTCACGTCGTCTGAACCAAGAGGTGGAGAAAGAGACCTGGTTAAACTTTGTTTTCATCTTCAGTCTCATTGGCTCCAGTCCAACCGATTTCTGTGGAGGAGGGCGATTAGATATTCTTAAGCCAATCCCAAGAGACAATTATATTATTACAATATTATGCATCTTACTTTGTAGGTCATTGTGCAAAAATTATCCTTCTGCATAGAAGCATCTATTATGCCCCTGAGACCAGTTGCAGAATTTTTCCCTTTAGAATTACATTAAACATTTCTAGAGGCTGCTTTTTGGTGATGCCAGATTTGTGTTTTACACCAGAGGAGATAAAAGCAAAGAGTATTTTTCTCTCGACAAGTGGGACTGAAGCATCTCATCACCTGTTCTTTCCTTAATTTGGAGAGAAGTAAAAATAATCACCACTGTCTGGTGATATTGAGAAGTCAGGCTGTATATGTAAACTAACAGGCCTCTGTATTTACAGGTAGCAGCTGTTCAAGCCTCCTTGGTTCTGTCACACAACTAGGCAGAGCTCCACAAATTCTTGACAGTGGCATTGATGGATGATAATTTGTCCACCAGTGACACTGGAGGGAGGTTCCAACCTCTTGAATGTGAGGATTTGCTGTTTTGTTTCGTTATATTTCATCGTCAAACAAATTTGGATTCTTCTGTCCGATGGTCAAGAAAACAATAATGGTCTTGATATTTTGTTTTCACAGAAGTTGTGATTGGCATTTTTTCTGTACATTTTTGACATCTTATTTCTAACCGAAGATTCTGCCACAAAAATGATGGAAGTATCCCTTACGCTCACTGCGGGCTCTGTATTTTTTCAACACACGATATAAAACATTCTGTTGGAGGGGCCCATTAGCCTGTGACTGGCAGTTCTGTTTGACCAACCATGGATTTGATTTTCCTCCAAAATCAACATAACTTACTGTCCTGTATATCTTGATTCAGATCCAGATGTACATTTTTTAAATACTTCCTGTTCTTGAAGAGACAGCCTCAGTGGGGGTTTGTACACCCATTAGACTTTTCTAGGTCATAATGAAATGACAGGAGTGCTTTCAAAATGTGATAAATCGTGGTGCCTGTGCTTTGTTTTACTTACTTGTGTGCATAACCGTCTGAGGTGGTGGTGAGGTTGATCTGCATGACCATCTGAAACTCGGTCTCGTTGCAGCAGTATTTGAATGCGGTGTTGTTGCGGTAGCAGCAGAACATGAAGTTCTTGTTGTCTGAGAGGCGCGGGCAGTGAAAGCCGAAGTGCGGCCGCCCCTTTTGGTCGTCGTAGGGTTCACACACTCTGTAATGGGCCGATAAAGCTGCAGATTGGAGAAAGAGAAAGATTTCAGGTGTAAAAATGTGTGCATTATTAATGAAAAACCGCTTTAGAGGAAGATTTGTTCAAACAGCAGCAGCAGCCAGCAGAGTACTGAACACATTTTGTTTTCTTTGAAAGCCTCAGAAGAAAAACACAACTAGATTGAGGGTGCATGTAATTATATGGGTGTACTGTAGGAACAGAAAAAAACGGTGTACTTGCAAAGTAATCAGATAGCACCCATCACATTTAGAATGCAGGCGCTGATGGCATTGTCTCTGTAACCTTTAATTCCAAAAGGAAACAGTGCATCTTACTTTGTAGGTCATTGTGCAAAACGTATCCTTCTGCATAGAAGCATCTATTATGCCCCTGAGACCAGTTGCAGAATTTTTCCCTTCAGAATTACATTAAACATTTCTAGAGGCTGCTCTTTGGTGATGTCGGAGTAATGTTTAACACCAGAGGAGATAAAAGCAAAGAGTATTTTTTTGTCCACAAGCAGGGCTGAAGCATCTCATCACCTGTTCTTTAAAGCTTTTCGCATTAATATACTCAGACTTGTTTTTGGCAGCTGGAATCATACAGGAGGACAATAGAGCTTGCAATACATAATGAAGAATATTAATATTTTTTGTATAAGTAATGCACTTCTTATTTGCATTCCTCTGTTGCTGTGCATTCAAGTCCCTACAGCTTTAGGAAGGCATGATAAATGAATGCATTGTTTCTTTCACGAAGGGTCAAGAAAAGCAATATTGTCTTTGTTATGAAATCTGGCAACAAATAAACCTTAGCTTTAAAGTACTCACAGGAATATACTTTCACCGTAGCCGAGACGTTGTCTGGTGATTACAAATTACACAATCTGTCAGAGAAAGGAATGACCCAGATACAATGGGAGTCAAATTACGTGGCTGATTGAAGTTACACCCACTTGCTCAACACCTTCATTACTAATCAGTCTGACATTTTTAGCACCTTTTCACTTTCTATTATAAGCAGTGACACCAATAATGAATACACAACAGTTTGCCTACGGTCACCCCCCTATAAGCTGCATGTTAGACATTTAGAAACAGCACAGTAGAGTGTCAGCCTGCTCAGAATGTGTCTTTATTGCACATCTTAACTCAGTCCTGTGTGTGAATAAAATGTTTTAGATGATCTAAAATGAAATCAGGAAAGCCTTATTGGAGTTGTCAGTGTTTTTTTTTTTTAAAAGATTTTCCTGGCCAATATAACCAATAAGAACGCACATGTTCAGAGAAACAACATCAAAAAAATGAACAAATCACAACAATGCGTCTCCTTCTATCTCTATCCCAATTTTCAAAGCCGGTGCAGTGTCAGCAGATGGCTGTTCATCATGAGTCAGGTTTTTTCCAAGATTTCTGCCTCTTACAAGGACGTTTTTTCTTGCCACTGTCACTTTCCTTAATGTTGCTCATTGCAAGGCTCATGATGGATAAACATTGGGTCTTATGACGGGTAATATGACAAGAGTAAGGTCTTTTAACTGCTTGTGGAAAAGTGTCTTAAGATAACATTAGTTATGAATTAACGCTATTGAAATGTGAACATAAGACAACAAGACATTCTCATCAAAGTAACCCAATAGTTGTCCAAAATCAGAACACAACTGAGACTCATTCAAATGAAACCTTTAGGATGCAAACACATAGAGGTGATCCTAAAATATTCCTCAATATAAAGACAGAGCTGTCTTCTCTCCCAAATAGACAGTTTTATGTTATAATGTTACTGTAATTTTTAATTACCACACAAACATCTTTGGCATTTATCTTCTGTACTTTCATGTGACTGATTTGCCGACAGGCTGATGTTATTTTCAAGTGCCAGGAGCTAAAATCAGATGATGATATCATCCATGCTCACGTCTAAATTAGGCTCTATTTGTGTCATTTGCTAAATCTGTCAAAAAAATATCTTGTTTGTTTCTTTTTGCTTGATCATTCTCTTTTAAGCATAAATCCATTGATGCAACTACGTCTACTGAGCGCACACTTTTGTTCCATTTCCATTGATTTGTCTTTGTCTTGTGTGTGTTCTTTCATCTGTGGAGCCTATAAAATCTGGCAGTGGGGTCGGTAAAAGTGTTGTAGCTGGGATTCAGTTCAAGGTCAACTTATGCTGCGGTGTGATTTGAAGTCTGTCAGTAATCCCAGACGGGAGACAGATCAGCATTTGAAAGGGAAGAGCTCTTTCAGGTTATAATGAGCTCTGTGTTGCCGGCCATCTTCCCTTCCACAACCCTATGTGAGCGCGAGAAGAACCAAAATGAAGCAGCACACGAGGACACGCGGGATAAGATGTCAAGGATGGAAATATGGTGGGAGAAAACTCTTCATCTGACCTTCGTATGGACTGTTCAAGTTGTTTATCTCCAATAAATCCTTGCATATAAAGTGAGGGTCAGCAGTTGTAAGCACCTGAACTCGCAATAAGGAAACGGATGCCCTCGACATAGGAAGCGAGCCATAAAGTCCTCTAACGATGCACGATTTAAAGGTCTGGAAAGAGAACGGTTCAGGGGAAGTCTCTGGCTTCTCAAATCAACAACAGCTGGTTCTGGAGACCGTGCTGTTGTAAACACACCCACCTGCTTAATTGCATTAACACCTCTTGAAATTTAGGATACAGTTAACAGCTTGGCTCTTGCACTACAGTATGTTTACAACCTGCGGTCTGAGAACTGCTATGGCCGTCTCCAGCTTCCCTGAAAAACAGGCAACATTTGGGCATCAGTCAGAACTCACACATCCCATTCGTTTATTAAACGCTTCAATCACACGCACAGTTTGTTTTCTTTGTTCTGGAACATCCAGGAAATGTTTGCTGTGTTGTAACTGTATTTTAATCAGCGTTCATCTACAAATAAATAGATATTTACTCACAAATGGTTCATTTGAAGGTAGCCGAAGCAATATAACTGATTTATTATCCCCTTAACTAAAGACAAGCATGGTGCACCTTCTTGCTGTGAATAATAAATGAACAGCTGAGGGAAAAAAAGCCTCATTCTGTTTACGTTTAACTTGTCAAGAAACAAAAATCAATCATTTAGGAAGCAACATGAGCTGGTTCTTGCTTTTCAAGTGTGAGTTTTTGTTCTTTTTTTCCCACAGTTTTATATCATTATTACAATAATATATTTGAGGTTTAAGAAAAACTGTTCTACTCTACCAGATATAAGATCAATAAAAAAAACACGTTGAGATATGTTCAATATTTGTGAGCTACATCCCTCCTGCTGTCAGCATTATATTGTTTCATATACAATAGGGAATAAATCCAAACATTTGTAAGGAAAGAGCAAGTTAACAAAGAGATTACAAAGACAATTAAAGGTACAGCTTTGTTCGTTGCAGCTTGTAAACACAACATTCAAACTGGGCACCACCTTCTGGGCTCATCGCCCCCTACAAGCTCACACTCACTGGAGGTCGCAGTGTTTACCTTCACTTCAAGCTACCACACGCTAACACAAGCTAACCGTCAGTGTTTGGCACACGCCTGTCCAACAGATAGCGGAGCACAGGTGAAAGTTAACCCAAGGTTCACCCTCGTTTAAGAAACAAGCGTTATCTGCTTGGTGTTTCACCTCACTATCATTATATTTTTCTTCTATGCCTCTGTTTGTCATATTCGCTGGTTTGAATCGCATCCAATCACTGAATTTTATCCACTCCTAAACTCACCTGCGTGCTGTCATTGACTGGAGGAAATTGTAATTTGACCATGAGAAATCTTTTGAATAACCTGAGATCTTGGGAATTAAAAAACAAATAAATCCAGACTGTCTGACAAAGATACAGCAATATAAGTCGCCTTACCAGGCAGCTTGCTATGGATTATATTTACATCATTTACATTTATTGGTAAGCTGTAAAAATGATAGAAGACCTTAAAGGTGTGGGTCAGTTGTAGAATAAAGACAGAGAAGTTTCTGTTCGGAGGAAGTTGGGTCAGATGGAAAAAAAGCAGGAGATGAGAGACTTAGCCCCATGTGTAGCTTGAGAAAGAAAGATTTATCTCATGTAAATTAATGACGTTATGTAAAAATGTTTCATGACCCAAGTTGCAACTGTTCAGGATGTGTTGGTCAGGATCATCATCTATTTTATTTTCATTGAAATCATCTCCTTCATTTGTTAGTCAGAAGAAATCTGAATTGAAAGTTCAAATGTATTCTCTTTAAGGATGGAATCCAGGTGTTGCACCCTCTCCCTGGCAGGCAATGAATTTATATTTTTTCATGCATTCAAATTAAAAGGTTGTTCAACTCCTCTTCAATGAGGTGGATTATTCCAACCTTCTTTATGCTCCTGCTGAACTGATTTCTTCCTCCAACACTCCATCCTTCTCCTGCCCTATTTTGTCATTTTGAAGTCTTGAGTTGGCATCTTTTCCCTTGTGCATAATATATATATATTCCATTGCTCAGAAATTTGTGCTGGCTGAGTTTTTTCTCTTTTTTCTTCTTTCGGGGATAGAATGCTCCCTCTTCACATTTTTACGCTGCATGGCCTAATTTTGAGAGCACCCTAAGATTCAGAGCTTTTCCCGCCAAGAGCACTTCTTTTTGGGGCAAAAAATGCTTTTAAGCTCCTTGATGGTGAGTGTCTCTGACTGAACTTTTGGCCATCAGATAACAACTTCCATCCTTAAAATTGTGTCCTCTGAGGTCGTTTGCTGGCTAAACCAGAAAACGACAGAAAAACAGATTTTGGAGCATCCAAAGATTGTAGAAACTGCTGTTAGCATGCCTGTGCCAACCCTGAAACGCTCATATGAGTGTCTTTAGAAAAACATGACCTTTTGAGGGCTGATAAGCTCTCCGTAAACTTTACAGACCTGCAGTGGACAGCAGCAGGAAGATGACCGTCAGGACATTGAAGGACTGCCGGCTGGTGATAGTCATCTTCTCCTCCTCATGTGGGAAGAAGGAAGGGAGCTAGAGGGAGGGAGGAAGGAAAGGAGGGAGGCTGCTCTTCTCTAGATGGACATGGACATCCTCTACTGTGCGAGAGCTCCACTCACATGGCTGCTGCTCGGAGAGTCAGGACTCCTGATGAGAACAAGAGCAAAGATTAACCATTAGATTTAAGGGGTCAGGAAGTTCCACCCCACTGAGTGGACAGCTTGTCTTGCAGTGAGCGCATAAGATGCCTTCTAAAATCCATCCTGCGGTTTGTTTAATAAGAAGGCTTAGACATTGATTTGAATGGAACTTGGCACTCTGGCAAGACAGGGCTCTAAGTTGTCCCTTTTTTGCATAAATCTCTATTGTGGAGACTGTTTCTACTTTAAGCAGAGGATGTTGTTGCACTTGGATGTTATATTTAGAGCACATTTTATCTTTGCATTACAGTATCATTGAGCCCAAAATGAGGTCCATAAAGCCATTATGCTAGTGGTTACCTAGTTTCCCCTTCTCAAATGATACAATATGCTGCTTCAATTTGTTTTCCATGATATTAAACAGAAGCCTTTTGAACTGTTGCTATTGCATACAACTTGGAAAAGTCATCCTGAGCTTAAGAAAAAAATGTGATTTGTTCCTCAATGATAGACCATTAAGGACTTAAATAAACAAGAACATCATCAGGAGAAAGTGGAAAGTAACATAAAGAGTCTGGAACAGATTTTTTCAATATAGTTGGTGTTTAAATGAAGACATGAATAGAAAGGAAATAACTTTGTAAGTCTTTGGCAAAAATAAAGTCAACAAAATAATGGGAGCAACTGCTAGTTGACTAAATCTTAACTAAATATGAAAACACAAAAAATCCATCTTCCAGCAAACATAAAATAGAATATAATGTTAGCAATAACCAGTAAGTGATCCAAAAATATTTAGCTCAGTTTAAACTTTTTTTTCATGAATTTAAACGGTTACCTCTACTGTAGGAAATGGGAAATGTTACATGCAGCCCGAATTATTTTCTTACAATTTCTTCACATATAACAAACGTATGCATTATATCAACTATTTAATTCAGAAATATAATCAATGTCTTACAAATATGTGTCATTTATCCGTTTGTCTCATTCAGACCAACTTTTAAAAGCCAGTTAAAAAAATGGCCAAAAGTGCTCAGAGTGCATTAAAGTCTGATGTTTTAAGAGAAAGTGATGCTTTCACCAAATATTTAATGATTTACACAGAACTTGCTCCTTCAGCATACCGTACACAGTTTTGACTGTAAAACTTGCTGACGAGCCGTTTGCTTGTAAATGATGCATCATGGGAGTTTGTGAACTATTCTTCTTCAAGCTGAGTATCAATGCACAGTTACCTTTAGTGCTGCGTCACATTTATCTGTCCTCTGATTCCAAGTGAGATTAATGGGGACATCAGCACATTGTGCTAAGCCATGCTGCTTCTGTACTTGAGCAGATTTATTCCTTTAATAGCACCAGGGGACACACACATAAACGGTCTCTGTCCCTGACTCACAGGTAAAAGGTGGAGTTTACAGTAATTTATTACAAGCTCTGTCAATGAACCATTTGCATTTGGCAGAGGCTTCACAAAAGTTAATAATGTATGTAACACTTTGCAGTTGAATGTGACTTTGAGGCTGTTCAATGTCAGCCACATGTGAAAGAGAAACTTGGATGATCATTTAAGGGAGGCTGTAATGTGAGACACCAAAGCTGTGGCTGTCTGAATAAGATTTACACAAAGAAGGATGTTTAAACCATTTGGAAAATATATTCCTCTTCCCCTAAACCATAAAATCTTCACCTCCATGATTTATGACACAACTTCAATTTCAAATTTCCCTTTGAAATGACCCCAACACCACTGAGGGCTTAAGTTGTGAGGCTGTGCAAAGAAAGTTAAAACATCCTCTCCGTAGAAGCTGCATGGGACACATTACAAAGCCAAAGTCCTGAATTATTGAGCAGCCGACAGCAGCTGACAGCTGGATGGAAACCACATATAAGAAGAAAACAAGTCCATAGAAAGCCATCAATGTTTTTCTCTTGCTGTGATGGGACAATGCAACGCTGGATCCCATCCAGTTTATTGTTGCATCATCACCGTTTACTCATTTCTTTTGTTTCTTCAACTATTTACAAGCTGTTTTGGTGAGCTCTTGGTGCCAATTGTGGTGCAGAAAAATCTCCGTTTGGATGGAGATTAAAAACGTCCAGTTGGGCAATATGTTTCTCATAAAGACATGATGAGAAATTTAATGTTGAAAGATCATGGCAGAGTTAAAGCTAATGGTTCCTGTCATAACAGGATCAAGTTAATAATTGTAGAATTCATAATTTATAACAATAAGTCAGTGTATTGGTAATACGTCTATTTAGTCACACATCTGGCCTGGTAGTTGGCTGCACCTAGGACGATGTGCTCGCTGGCTTTTACCTTTTGTTCTTGACGTTATCGTTAAATGTGACATTTGTTTTGTTTTCTGACAAGCTAAGTAGGATAAAGATAGCTTGTGATCCTTTGGAAGCATCAGATGTAAATAATTTGAAGCACAAGTAGAGAGAAATAAAGCACATCTTCTACTGTGCCACCACACTTTGACTTATGTCTGATTAAAAGTACATTTTCAATGATTTCAGTTTGGCTTTTCCAGGGGCTTGAAATCTCACATGCTGGATAAACAAATCCTTAATAATCACGTCATTTTGATGCTAATTGAATTTTCTTCAGGGGGGATGTTTAAAAAATGGAAGCCACCACCATATCCATTAATTTTGCACACCAATAGGCCAAAGAAAAAACAATAAATAACATAAAATAGAAAGAACTATGTAACAAGGAAAATAATTTTACAAGACTGTTAGTACAGCAATAGTCTAATGCTACCTGATGTCTTTAGACAGTTTTCATGTTCAAATCTACATCCTCTACTCATATAAATCTTTAAATTTAAGGGACAAAAGAAGAGGACGTTTTTCTGTTGTCTGATTATTTCAACACTCCACCTTTCAAACAACGGGATTTAAAAAATGAGAATAACAAATGTTTGATTTTAAGGTTTTGAAGACAGAAAGATTCCAAATGACACCTTACATTAAGATCACATTAAGATGTACTCTCTTCACAATACAGGATCATTTGGGCAGATACAACTGTTCCGGTCAACCTCAAATCAGAAACAACTCTTATGACTATTTGGAGGGTCAAATTGTACCCAGAATCTGCTTGACTCTCCCTCTGGTTCAGCGCCAGCTTCAGGATACACCACCAGCTAACATGCAACCCCTGAAAAAAAAAAAGATAGCAATAGGTGTGATTTGTCTGAGCACAGGGATCCACCTCATGTCAGGACACGTTTTCTCCTGTGATGATTTTGATTGTGTGTGCGCTTGGATACACATGAGTATTAAAACATATTGACACACACAGACCTGCAGCAATACTACAGGATATTACCTGACCTGATTAGAATGAAACTTTCTTTGGCCTGTGATGACCTGTTCTCTCTAAACAATATGAGAGAATACGCTGTTAAAAAACAAAAAACAAAAAAAACCTGGTTGTTTATAAATTTGGTATGTAGCCATATGAATGTGAAGTGGAGCATTAATGAGAATATGTGGGTCTGTTTAATTAAGCCTCCATGGATAAACCTTCGAGAATCCTGTTCCCTTTCAATGACTGCTCCGACTCTTACTTGTTACTTTGTTTCTTATACAATCCCAACAGCCCAGACTAATGATCGCACATGACCAAACTCATATAGAAAGCCGTTGCTATGGATCGAGTGTACAGAATATTTATGTGACGCGCAGCAGGCGGTTTCTGTTGGAGCCTTTTAAAAGGGGTTTTAGATCAGACAAGCTGTTCCCTCTTCAGAAAAGCAGGCAGCTGAGGTCCCAGGAGGCTTGTTAGAGTGGCATTTTTATCCATTTTTTTTTCAATCTCTTTACTCCTGGTGAGAGCTTCAGTGTGCTGCCAGATGACAACATGTCCAGTATACGATGAGGGATTCCCATCATTACGAAATCTCCCCCTACAAACTCCTCTTCCTTTAAACCGTTGTGCTCTTACCAAGCTTTTTTTTTTTTTTTTTTTTTTTACAAACATTATTTTTCTGCTTGTTTTTTTCACTCTCAGGAGTCACATCATTGTCACATTACTCCCTGTGCTGTACACGCTACAAAAGGGCAAGGTTCACTTCGTCACACTGCTGGGCTTGTTTGCAAAGACAAAGGGAGTGTGAGAGGTTTGTGTAATGAGCCTGATGGTAGTGAAGCAGAACATGTACTGTAAATACACAGACGTGCACGCACACAGGCACACACAACATAGTACACAGTGCTCAGCTCCCTGCGACTTTAAATAGAACATACCGCACAGCTGAACAGGCATGCAACACAGATGGAGAGTCTAGCTGCTTGCATTTTATGTCTAATAAGAAACTAAAATATACATGAAGACCATGAGAGCCTAATCACACTGTAACCACTCTCAGAGTAAATGTAAGGGCTGTTATGAGTGGCAGGGTGTAAAAAATTAACAGACTCACAGAGAGCACGGAGCTCGTTTATTCGATTCCCTCAATGTTGTTGCCCGAGAGAAGAAGGAAATATTAAGTGACCAATTACTGCAGCAACCACTGTGAATGTAAAAGCACACTTTTCATCACAGCGCAGCAGGAGACCCAAATCTGTCAGAGGGTTTGATGAGGAGAAGTGCGGCGGGAAGATTCTTTTTGAGCTATTTGAAGATTACACGCAGCGATATGCTGGGCCTCTCTCATGAACATTCTCGTTTAATGTGTTATTTTTTGTTCAAACATTAGCTTGAAAGACTACAACACGTTACCATGCTCTCTAAAACAAAAATCCTTATTTATTTCGGCCTGCTGTGTCTCGAATTTGATATGAGAGACGTTCAAGTTGAAGGCTTGTACTCGAACATTACACTTCCCTCACTCTACTGATTCAGTGATTTTTTTGGGTGAAACATTCAAGTCTGTCATTTTCAGTATTTACATAACCATTTTTTCCCAGTGGATTATAATCCTGAAGGTGGATATTTATTGGATATTTATGCAGCCTCTGTGCCTCGTTATTAGGTTTGTCTTTTCCTCA